GGTTCCAGTTCCCGTGGATCGGGACTTATACAAAACGCTCTGTGCTGGTGGAGGCAGGTATGCACCCGCAGCTGGCCTGGGCTCGAGTATCCTCCTGTGCTGAGCGCCTCACGCAGGCGGAAGTGCTCCAGGCCTGGTCAGGCCTTCGATGTGGCGCCGAGCCACGTGGTGGCAGTCATTGCAGCGCAGGAGGAGCGGGACAACCCCTGCTCGCTTCAGGTGACGATCTTTGACGTATCTGGAGGATTTGGCAGCACGGTGAGCGCCGCTGGAGGGAACCAAGCCTGTTGCTGGCCGGGAGGTGGCCATCCGTGATCCTGTGGCCCGGGCAGGACGGACCCTGTGGTTTTGGTTGGATCAATCGAGGCTGGCATGGAGTCTCTCTACCCGCCTTGTGCAGCATGCGGGTTCCCCACCGTCTTGCTTTGTCATGTCTGCCGCAAGTTCATCTGCTTCGACTGCTCCAGGTCGTGCCGAGCGTGCGACCCTTAAGCGAATGGCCGTCGCCCTTCTTGGTGCCGGGTTGGTGTTGCCGAATGCTTCGGTGGTGCACACCATGGACAGGGACATCGAGAGGGCTGAGCCAGCCTTTGGGTGGAGACGACCCCCAGGAAGTGGTTGCCAGGTGGCACAGTGGCACGCTGCCCATGGGGTGCGGCTGGACGAGGACTTTGCCTTCGCCTACCATGATCTGCTTGTGGATGCCAGATGTAGGCGGCCACGAGGGGAGCTCACCTCGGCGAGGCAGACCGAGTGGCAAGCGTCTGTCAGACGCCTAGTCGACAATCACGCCACCAGCGCCGAAGCCAGCGCATTCAAGAACGTCATCAGGACCTTGCAAGAACTCTATCACTTTCAGATTTTGAGGGGGCGTACCCAGGGTCTGGAAGAAATTAACCCAATTGACCTGGATGCATTTTTGCACGGCGGTACCTCAGCCCCAACTTGAAGCTTGCAGGCCCTGCGTTGGATCAGTAAGAACGTGCAGCTTCAGTGGACTTTGCCCGAGCTGAGGCGGGCAAAGACACCCAGTGCAATAGGTAAGCAACAGGCCTTTGGCGTGGAACCACCCTGCTTACCCACTTAGAGGACAGGGTCCAGGCCATGTGCAAATCCGGCGACTCGAGGTGGGCCAATGGCTGGTCGGAGTGGGGTCCTACGCTATAAGCACTTGAACCTGTCTACTGTGCTCAAGATTACCCCCTTTCTGCTACTGCTCTCGGGGAAAGCAGGCTAAGCTGCGTGGAGGCTTCTATACTGGTGTGTCCCATCCACCTTTGCTAACCAGTTTGTCTGGACTACGCCCCTGGCTTGAGCCACCTGCCAGGCGCCAACATTGTGGCGTTGTGACATGCGCGGCCAGGCCTGGTCTCGCCTAGAGTCTGTGCGTGACACCCAGGACGAATTTAGGCTTGTGTTGGAGGAGCCTGACCTCCTCACAAGTTATTCCTGGCGAAGGCTGTTCCACCGTGTCTCGGATAGCCAGGCGAAGATGCCCATCCACTACGCAGGTTCCCGGTACGCTCAGCAGGTTTTGCAAGCGCTATGCTTATGGGGTGACGTCCCATTTGCGCGATCATGCTTCTTGGGAGGTGATCCCGCCGCCGGCAGTTGAGCTGGCGTGCAGCCTGGCAAAGGATGAGGCCACGGTTGCCATTGCCAGGGACAGCACGGTGCTTTGGTGCTCGCCTTCACGTCCTTTACACGAGCCACGTAGGCTCAAACTGACCCAGGCCAAAGGACCAGGTGAGCCAAAGAATGGCGTGCCAGACTATGTCAGAGATGCCGCCCATCGTTGCCAACCGGCGAGTCGGTCCCTCACTTCGTAATGGCGCTGTGCTATGTCCCCAACACAATTTATAGGCCTGTGCGTGAACGGAGACGCTTGCCCCGTTGCACATGGCTTCGCTGCTGCTCAGCGATCTGGCCGAGTTTGCGGGGGGCATCACCCGGCGCTGGAATGCAGGAGCCCCAAGATCCAGTTGGTGGACGTCCACTTGACACCAGCTGCCAAGACCACTCGCAAACGCGAGAGTGCAGGAGCCGCGGAGAGTGTTGCCCCGAAGCGTGCTAGCCTGCTGAACGGCCAAGTGCAGCCAGGAGTGGACCTGCTGCAGAGGAGGCCAGCTCTTCGCGTTGTGGACCCAGGAGGGACCGCTTCCGGCTACTGGGCCGGCGATCTTTGATAGGCTGGTGCGGAGCGCCCGTCGGCTATGTGCACAACCCGGGCAGGGCCGCTTGGTGCTGTCGGGTTTGCCAATGGCAGCGCAGCGGGAGCTGTTCGCAGGTATTGACTTGCAAGTATGTTGCTTGGGTCAATCCCCCGAATCCCGGGGGGGAGTCACTTTGCCACAGTGCAGACTCATCATCGTCTCCATGCGCGACCCGGATGCTCTCAGCCAAGATTGGACAGAAGTCTTTGGCCTTGTCTGCCGGACATTATGGAGTGGCCACTCGGTTCTTATCCATTGTGCCGCTGGTAGGCACCGAGCAGCCCTTGTGGTCTGCTTGATACTTGCCCTGCTTCAGGGCGTTACCCTGCAGGAGTCTGAAGACTTTATGCGTGGGAGAAGGCAGGTCGAACTGTCGAACTGGGCGAGATCCGAGGGCGGGGCCCAGGCCTGTGGTCGTGGGCCGTCAGGGCGGTGCGAAGCACTCGTGTACCAATGGCATACCCAGTGTTCATCGGGTACATGGCTACGGAAAGCTCCAACCTCCATCTGCAACTTCAAGTCGGTGCCACCCTGTGCAGACATTCGCAGAGCCCAGCGCGGGCTACGAATCGTTTGTGCAATGCGTTCACTACAAATGATCGTCGTGAAGCCGTGGCATGGCAAAGGCCATTGTGCGATGAGTGCTTCCGCCGTGCATCGGCGCGTTTTTGGCCACAGTAGTGTGAGCCAGTCAGTTGACTTTTGCTGCAGCCCAGGTCGGTGTACATTTTGTCACTCGTGCTTAAAGCGCGGGGCGACCGCCCGAATAAGAGCCCATCCGACCAGGTAGGGTGCAGCCGCGTAAGAGCAGGGCATGATTGCAACAGTGACGGGAAAAGCGTAGGAGAGTGACGGGTGAGTTGTGCACCCCTGTGTCTCGAGTTGCTTGCGTGCCTCCTGTTGAGTTGTCTTGCCTTGAGTTGACTGGGCTGCGCTTTGCGTGATGGCTTGTAGGCTGATGCTGGCGACCCTGGAGGTGCCAAGGCATAGTGCGTGCCAAGGCCTAGTCTGTGACTTCCGGAAAATGGCTTCCGTCGCCCTATAGTGCCCAGGGCCGAGCAGGATATTCGTGCCGCGCTGAATGTGTTGGCCCTGAACTTCGACCTCAAGGACAAGGTTGTGGAAGAGCTGCTGAAAGTAGGGGTTCGTAACTTGGAGGAATTCCGCTTCTTGTTCGGCCTGGGGGATGAGGCAGCCGTCCAGACAGCCCGGCTGCGGAGAACATGGGCTGCCGCCCGTGTCTACTTTTCTCAGGATCGCTCCAAGGTGGCTCTTGCAGATCTGGACTCCTTGTTGGAGGAGTCGGAGCTTCGCGACGCCAAGCAGGCGTTTTGGCAGAGGTACCGCCTGAGGTTCCCGGCTGAAGTGCGCCCGAGCGATGCTGTTGTGTCGAGGGTTTCGCGTGAGCTCTCAAAAAGGATGCTCTTTCTCTTCAAGGTGTGGAGTGTGGAAGGTGCGCTCCCTCCAATTTCAGTTGGGCACCTTCCAGAAGAAGAGGCGACTGGGCGATGGCCTCTTGACAGAGGAGGCTGAGACCGAGGAATCCTACACCGCGGATTGCGACACCTACCTCAACAAATTGCATACATTGCTGATCGCATACTCCCTTGCAGGCTCCCAGCCCATTCCAGGCGCCTCCGATGCATCCAAGGAGCAGACGCTGGGTTCCGACTCAACTGAGTTCGTGGAAGTTCCTTTGGACATTATGCTCCAACATTTCTTCGTGCTAAGCGGGCCGTCGCAGGGCTGCCAGCCAATAAGTGCCTGGCTTGGTTGCAAGCCCGGGATGCAGAAGAGCGGTTAGAATGGGTCAGCAAGTACCGTGAGAGTACCAGACCGCTGCGTGGGGGCCGTGGTGAAGACTTGGTTCCGGATGTCTCTGCGCCACCAGCAGCCGCAGCCCCGGCGCCATCTGCGCCCAAGCCCACTCTGGAGTCCAAGTTCCTGCCAGGGCCAGTCATCAACGGGAAGTTGACAGCCAAGCAGATGCGGGACGGCCTGCGCCTGTGCGAGGGATTCATCAAAGGATCGTGCTCCAACAAAAGTTGCGGTAACGGAGCACACCGCTGCTCGGTGGTCCTTCGTGGGGAGCGCGTGTGGCGAAGGCTAACCCAGAGAGCCCAATATTGCTTA